GTGTGTGGTTTACAGTCACATATGATTACAGGTGTGTGGTTTACAGTCAAATATGAATACAAGTGTGTGGTTTACAGTCTACATATGAATACAGGTGTGTGGTTTACAGTCTACATATGAATACAGGTGTGTGGTTTACAATCTACGCATGAATACAGGTGTGTGGTTTACAGTCACATATGATTACAGGTGTGTGGTTTACACTCTACACATGATTACAGGTGTGTGGTTTACACTCTACACATGAATACAGGTGTGTGGTTTACAATCTACACATGAATACAGGTGTGTGGTTTACAGTCTACATATGAATACACGTGTGTGGTTTACAGTCTACATATGAATACAGGTGTGTGGTTTACAGTCACATATGATTACAGGTGTGTGGTTTACGGTCTACATATGAATACAGGTGTGTGGTTTACAGTCACATATGATTACAGGTGTGTGGTTTACAGTCAAATATGATTACAGGTGTGTGGTTTACGGTCTACATATGAATACAGGTGTGTGGTTTACGGTCTACATATGAATACAGGTGTGTGGTTTACAGTCTACATATGAATACAGGTGTGTGGTTTACAATCTACACATGATTACAGGTGTGTGGTTTACAATCTACATATGATTACAGGTGTGTTGTTTACAGTCACACATGATGACAGGTGTGTGGTTTGCAATCTACATATGAATACAGGTGTGTGGTTTACAATCTACATATAATACTGGTGTATAATTTACAGTCACATATGAATACAGGTGTGTGGTTTACAGTCACATATGAATACAAATGTGTGGTTTACAGTCTACATATGATTACAGGTGTGTGGTTTACAGTCACATATAATTACAGGTGTATGGTTTACAGTCACATATGAATACAAGTGTGTGGTTTACAGTCTACATATGAATACAAGTGTGTGGTTTACAGTCACATATAATTACAGGTGTGTGATTTACAGTCACATATGATTACAGGTGTGTGGTTTGCAATCTACAATGAATACAAGTGTGTGGTTTACAGTCTACATATGATTACAGGTGTGTGGTTTACAGTCTACATATGAATACAGGTGTGTGGTTTACAGTCTACATATGAATACAAGTGTGTGATTTACAGTCACATATAATTACAGGTGTATGATTTACAGTCACATATGATTACAGGTGTGTGGTTTGCAATCTACAATGAATACAGGTGTGTGGTTTACAGTCTACATATGATTACAGGTGTGTGGTTTACAGTCTACATATGAATGAATACAGGTGTGTGGTTTACAGTCACATATGATTACAGGTGTGTGGTTTACAGTCTACACATGAATACATGTGTGTGGTTTACAGTCACATATGAATGCAGGTGTGTGGTTTACAATCTACATATGATTACAGGTATGTAGTGTACAGTCTACATATGAATACAGGTGTGTGGTTCACAGTCACATATGATTACATAGTACAAGTGTGTGGTTTACAGTCTAAATATGAATATATGTGTGTGGTTTACAGTCACATATGAATACAAGTGTGGTTTACAGTCGACATATGAATACAGGTGTGTGGTTTACAGTCACATATGAATACAGGTGTGTGGTTTACAGTCTACATATGAATACAAGTGTGTGGTTTACAGTCACATATGAATACAAGTGTGTGGTTTACAATTTCTATATGAATACAAGTGCGTGGTTTACAATCGAATACATGTCGAATACTAGTACATCACTACACGTACAATGTTTATTATCACCATGGTACATATGGTCATCGTAATCGAGCTCGGGTTCAATATTAATAAAGATGGCGACTTTTATTGTTGCCCAGATCAACGTATACAAAAAACAAGACACTGCCCAGGTTTGCAGAGATGATCGGATGGCACCGAAGAACTTGAATAGAATAGAATAGCGCTTTGTTGACACCGAACAGAAAATATTACATTTCTTTTTTGGTTATGTACAGTACCACGTGACAATCAATGTCACATGGTATTATTCGCCCAATCACGGATTGTTCATTAGATGTACATTTTCACCGTTTCGATATCCCAAGCAAGTGAATAAATAAATAGAAGACAAACGACACTTTATAGGTCTGGACTAAATGAGACTAAGACCCCGTGACAAAACAGTGACAAGGTTTATGAAAGTGAATGTTGGTATTATGTCGCATTTATATCGAACATGAACATATTTCGTATTATGTACAATTCAAGATTTTATGTCTACCAAAGCAATAATTTTTGACCTCATCGGATGGTTACTGAAGTGAGAGTTAAACAACGGAACTTGATGAATCAATGACCTTTGATCAATGATCTTCCCAGTTCTATATTTTTTCTGTAAATTCGTTAGCTATACACATTACATAATCAGTTTCTAAACTTGATCTCGCGCCAAGAGGATGGAACAAATTGAAAAATAACCATTTCAGCGCATCACTTTTTTTGCGAAGCTTAGATCTTGAGATTGTTATTAGCTCTAATACATTAAAGGGGAAGTCGTCACATGCGCATGCGTCAGATGGCCATAGCGTGTCATTGTTTACAAACAAGCGTCTACCCATAAGCCTTTGCGTTTTTAGCCTGTGTTTTTATCGTCGCTTGGGATTCAATTCCCGCGCATGCGCAGGTGACGACCTTCACGCTTTAACGCATGTATTCTTGTTATCAGTAGTATTTTTTTTTCATCCATATATCTGATTCTACTTTTACAGCGTTTGTGTGGGAAACAAACATATTCGAGTGTGATTTTGAAGATGATATATGTGGTTTGACAGTCAAGGAAAACTGGCAGAGACATCGAGGTTACACGGAGACGTCGAACACTGGACCATCTACAGACAGAACTAAAGGCACCGAGGAAGGTAAGGATGTCAGCGTTGTCAGTTGACATTTTCACACTAAGATAATAGGTATGAGTTGATGAATGATACCAAATTCGATTTGTGTTAGCGTTTAGAAGCACAATTTCTCATTACCGAACATCGATAAGATTCCAATGCACTTTTTTTGTTGACATCGCCCTCTAGCGACAAAGAGGTTCAGTAAGTCAAAATGGTGAAAAAAACTTGAACCTGTGATCAGTACCGTTTAAATAGGATAGAAAATCTCGCAAAAACATGTTTTGTTGGACGACCATGTATCAAAACAATGTTGACAGTGTAAATGACGTATCTTCCGGCGTCTCTTACGTCAGGAAAGCGTTTCGTCGTCAGAGGGCGGGTTTTATAGGAAAGGTGCCGTGAATTGCCGATAGAATCGCAATACGACATATACTATCATGTGTATGTATAAGTGTTATTAAAAAAGTACACATTGATTGAGGGGATCCCTGCTTCTCTTAAGATGCTCGGAATCACGTGACAAAGAACTCTTCCGGCATAACTCAGCGCTTTCATAGCGAGCAAGGCTGTGTTCGATTTCTACGCCATTGACAGTTCTAGATCTTACGCTGAGAAAAGTTTTAAATAAAATAAATTGCGGGAAGAACTACCAGTAAACTAAGAAAGACGTTTTATTCAGAATTGCCTTTGTTTGAATAGTAACATGAAAATAAATTTACAAATCACATTAAAATACAAAATGTAATTTCGGATTTTAAAGTTTTTGCTTTGAAATACATTTTTGTAAACATAATTTTGCAGCAGTGTGGCTAACCGTTTAAAAATACATTTTTGAATTTAGTTGTAACAGGTGACCAGTCTGTGATGCACGTACTTACTTTAACGCGCTCATTTGACGAATCACGCGAGATTTCGACAATTACTGTATCTTCGCAGGTTACTACTTCTATATGGACGCTACAACCCTTCCTACGTATGAAACTGCCACCTTCCGCACTCGAGTGTTTGATTCGACACGAGCGTCGTGTTTACACTTTTCCTACTACATGTATGGGAAGGATTGTGGATATCTGAGGGTATATCTGAAAGAGATGGTCAGTAATACAACAACAGTAGTCTGGAAACGCTGGTTCGACCAAGGAAAGCAATGGCTACCCGTTGATGTGAACATAAGGACCACAGAAAGTTACCAGGTGCGGACAAACACTGATTTTACTTTCTTATCCTTAATACTAACAGGCATATTTCTTTTCCTACATTAAGGCACGTATTTGGCGCAGAAAACAAATACTCAGTTTTAAGTGCATTGTATACGTCGTGTGGCACCCACGTCTGACGCGAAGCGGCACGTCGTATTTTCCTAATCACATAGTTTCACGGTCTCGATCATGTGGACATACTCCCCACAACACCGTACGTGGTCACGGTTCTACCGGAATGCCGCGTATTTGAACTCGGTTAAATTTCAGACTACTGAGGTAAAATAGATAGCTCTGATTGGATGCGTCGAACGCTCCCTGTTTACGCTAGGTTACCCAGGTGAAGAATACATTTTGTGTTAATATGTGTATTGTGGCCAATTATAACTCATTATAACACGTACTGAATGCTCAATAATGTATACCCATTTTGTGTGTCATTTACACTTAATATGTAAATTCACATTATTCATTACCTTCTCACTATCTGTAGCTAATTTTTGAAGCCGATTCAAGTATTTCGTACAACATGGATGAAGGTGATATTGCTCTTGATGACATTGTTATACGGAACGAAATTTGTCCTTTCAGCGGCGATTGTAATTTCGAAAAAGGGGGTTTCTGTGGATGGTATAACGTTACAAATACCTGGTCTGTGAAAACAGTCAAAGACCTGAAACCTGGTCCTGACTGGGACACAACTTTGAAGACTGAAAACGGTACGTGTGTCACGGTGGCGAGTGGTCTGAGTGTGTTAAGGGTATACAAAACATAATACGGCTTGGTATTCCGTTCGATATGGAATTGTAGTTTTGATAATTAAAAACTAAAATTTAATATCGTGCACAGGGATATGATATGTCTAGCGGAATTGCTTTGCTTTGCGTTGAGTAATTGAATGTATAAAGTTCAAAAGTTATTTTTCCGCCAAAGTTCAGGTTTTTGTAGGTACACTATTGTATCAGAAGTTCGTTAA